TACAGTTCGGTAACCTACCTTGGGTAAGGTTTATTGAGTACCACAAAATGGAGTTTACAGTTAATTAGGCATAACCCATTATATCACATTACATTTCTGAAAATTGAACCTCAGGTGTGCACTCAAGTTGTGGCACCTAAAAAATCATATTTGCTTGAAAATTTAGAATTTTTTTGTTCCCAAGAAAAGACTTGCAGATCTCAGTAAAATGTGTACCCCTCAGTAGCCCTGTTTACACTGTAGGAATTCACATCGGTGTCGTTCACCCTCAGTTGCTTGAAAGGCACCTTGCATACGTAATGAGTGCATGGTGTCTGTATCCATACACAAAACCCCCTCTTTGATTCTTTTTTTCAGTACAATTTATGCGTGAAATTACTAAGGATAAACCCTGAGCTCTTTGCTAGCATATGCTTTGCACTCTAACAGTTAGTGCAGTGTGAATGCTAAGAACCGTCAGAGATGAAAGCCTCCTCAGACGCAACTTAAAAAAAAAATCTGAGTACTTCCCCCTCTGGTCCTGCTGCACACCCCACAATAATAGTTCTTCCTCCCTCTACAGTTGAGAAGGTCTTCAGCAGATAGTTGTTGTAGACTCCTGGTAGAGTCTACAACTCTCTTTCCGCAATATCCCAACCATCTCTCACCTCACTCCTTTTGTTCCTATTTCATATTGGTTGTCTTGGTTCAGCTGTGCAACCAGACTCAGCCGGTGAAGTGCTGAGTGCTCTCAGTTGCAAGTCACATTCTGAACAGTGATGCACGGGGCAGTCACCTGCACCGTTTCTTGTGCAGTCCAAACTGACAGACCTTCTGCGTCTCATCAGATCATAATTTCCTTCTGACCAACCTGTTGCCCCAGAGCAGGACTTGAAACTAAGGAGCCATTGATGACTTACTGACTGAGCATCTGAAATTTTATTTCAAAGGATAATGGTTTCCTAAAATTATAAGCAATAATTTTTTTCCAAGTCCTTTTTTTTCATCTCAAGTGTTCCTACAATAAAAGTTTCTTCTATGTATAGTCAGGCGAAAAACCTTTAACCTAATTTGGAAGGTACAGAAAAAGATAACATGAGGAAAAAATGATGAATGAATGTGGATGTCCTCGTTTGGTATCAATCCAATGTGAAATTGAATTGGAGACCTGTGCCTTCACAAGCAGTTGTCTGCTAATGAGAAGTCAGCATGGTGGTATGAGGATCTTTGATTAACTGACAACCTTTTGAAGACGGCTGAGAGAGTGAGCTCCTAGGTTTAGTAGGTCTTCCCTTTTTTGGGTGGAGAGCTGTCACAAATGCCTCTCTTCATCCCTGAGCTGCTTACCTCCAGTTAGGAGGAGCAGTGGAAAGCTTTTAATCCCTTCTCATGCTCCAGGTAGGAGCAAGGATACATTTTGATCATTGCCAATTCATGTATCATTCCCAAATCTGAGTCAGAGACACTAAAATTAAATGCATGTATTCAAGTGATACAGTAGCATTTACAATTCTTATGCTGCTTTCTTACAGTGATTCTCTTAGATCTTAACAACTTAAAGTATATAAAAATAGGTAAAAACAGGTAGATCTTTGTTGCCAGTGTACTACTTTGTATCATATAGCAGCACAATTAATGCAACAACTTTCCAGAAGCTTCCTCTTAGTAATATATGCCTTTCTTGGCTTAGAAGAAGGAAAACTCAGGGTGCACCAATAGAGATTTTAGGGGCTGATACCGATAGCTGATTTTTTTTTTTTAAAGAGGCATGTTGGCCAATACCAGTCCGATTTCTGGTACAGCTGCATGCAACTG